TCATCAGCCAGACAAAGCCTAATAGTCGCCACAGCCTTCGCTTCCAATTCTTTCCAATCCATGTCGTCCATTCCTGCCGGTTGTTTTCCGTATAATGCCTTCACCATGTCCTACTGCACTAACAGGTCCTTCACCCTCCTCTGCCATAATCCGAAATTCCCAGTTCCGTCGAACTTCATGATGTCGAATTTTGTAGAGGAAATCCCAAACATCGTAGTCTAGCTTTGATACCAATTGTTGTGATCGTGCAGCAATTATGGTGAATAGTAAAGAATCAAACAATTAAGAAAGCAAGAGAAAATAACACACAGAGATTTACGTGGTTCGGCAATGTGCCTACATCCACGAGAGCGAGCGGCCGTTTTTTTTCATTATTAAAGTAGGGTTACATCTTAAGTATTTATATAACCCTAATATGGAAGTATTTACAAAAATACCCCTATACCGTACCGCGGGGCGTTGCCCCCGCACCCCCAACTAATCAGCGTCCCCTTTATATAAATCCCGCAAGGCAAATGCCGTCGCGGGCTCCGCTCCGATATCTGCCTCCTTGCCATTATGCACACTGCAAATATGAGCCGCACATACTCTCATAGTTGATTATTTATTGTAATAATGCTGTGTTGGATTGACATTAGAAAAAAAAAATGCAGAGGTTAGTATAATCTTGATCACATTAGCAGATAGGGTGTAGAAGCAGAGAGTATTGGGTGAAACAGAAAGTGTGCTTCCACGTGACATGGCGGCTTTGTGCGCGTGTCGATGAGCAGCAACCCTACTTTGGGATACTGCAACCCCATGCACGGCACACGCTCTCTCTATCTCTATCTCTATGATTGGATTGTTTCATCAGTGACACTAGTTATACCCGTTTAGTAAAAACCTTACTACTGAAATATTAGTATTGAATATGATGATTACTAATTGACACTCCGTGCACTGTATAAAATTTATATACTATGAAGTTTTGGTAGTTAATTATAAGACGGTCCGTTAGGATAGTTTGGATGAAAAGGTTTTATGAGTTGGCTAATTACGTTTGTTTTTGTGGATAATTGTATGTGTTTGAAAATTTTGTTCTACACACAAGTTAGAGAGACGCAAAAATTGGAATAATTCTCTATTACCCAAGAAAAAAGTATAAAGGAAAGAGAATTAACGTATAGGGGTGTGAAGTTCAAAAGTTATCGTCACCATCGCCAGACTAGCTCCTTCTGTATTATATCTTGATATTATTCTTGTGAGTAATTTTATTTGGATCTAATTTGTTGATCTAATAACTTATAATTATTAGATTGACGATGAATCCTAATATTTGTATGAGACTTGCAATCAATTCAAGAGTTATGATAGATTAAGATAGTAAATTATATTAATAAATTAGGTTCAAATAATATTATTTTTTTCCGTTATAACTATTTTCACCTTCTTTTAATTATCTGATTCTACTGATAAGTAGGGATACTATTGATAAGTAGTATATAGTTTACAATGTTATGCATAAACCTTTTGTCCTTTTCCATATCATTGGCCCGGGGGGGGGGGGGGGAGGAAGGTGTTTGCTGCTGGAGGCCCCAGGCATTGGGGGGTTGTGGAAAAAAAAAAAAGCCCNNNNGGGGGGGGGGGGGGGGGGGGGGAGAATCCTTGTTCTACTGGATGCCCCAGGAAATTGTAGTTTCTTGGAAGAATAAATATACCCATACATGCCTTTTAAAAAATATTATTCTAGGATTAATTTGGTTCCTCATATCAAAAATTTAAAAATGATCGGTGGTGTTAGTAGTTTAAAATAAGTTCAGGGATTCCAAAATTGTTCTATTTATTATATAGATTATTCACTATATATATATATATATATATATATATATATAGACTTCTTAAAATAATTGACTAATCCTTGGTGATACATACTAGATCCTTCGTTTCGTGTTAGGTAACTACTACAATAAACCTTAAAGCCGACCCGAGACAAGCCTAAAAAAAATTTCAGTACTATAATGAACAAATAATTAGAAAAGTCTCAAAGATTCTTATGTACCATAGTGAATAAATCAGAAGATGTGATTTGGTTTTGCAGCCAAGAAAGCAAACCAAACCCACCAAGGACTTGACTACGTTATGTCAAAAAAAATTTAGGTACCATATCTCTAAAATATATTATTTTAAAAGGTGTTTTTATAATTTTTATCAGTCATTTGATAACTAAAAAATTTATCACTTTTATAGTTGATTTATCATTTTTACAGGTGTTTTTATCACTGTTATGAGTATTTTTTATCACATTTAGGGTAACCATTTTTATCACTTTTATTCAGTACAAAAAAATTACTATTTTTGTGGATGATTTATTATATTTGTGAATATTTTTACCACATTTGTGAATGTTTTTATCATTGTTGTGGTAAATATTTTTATTATTTTTTGGGGTACCACAACAATAGTAAAAACACCCATAAAAATAATAAATAGAGATATAGTACCAATTTTTTTTTCGACATTTCCACCAACAAATAGGGTTTAGTCTAATTGGTTACCTTCCATCGGGCATATAATTTTGGTAATAAAAACTCTTGTTATCATTTTGAAAACTTTTTTTTCTTAGTATGGTATTGAAACATAAATTTTCCATCCTATTGTTAGATCCCTTCTTTTTTTGTCCAGCACAACATCCATCACTGAAACTCTATTATGTGGATTCTCTCTCTCTCTCTCTCTCTCTCTCTCTCTCTCTCTATCCAATTCATCACACATACATGTCAGGTGATGAGACTAAGTACTAGTTTTAAAAGATAAAATTAATGTCATTTTCCCACTGATCTCATAGGAAAGTAGTTTTTGATATACAAGATGACAATATAGTTATATTTTCTCCTTTTATATTACCTGCTGAGGTGATTGATGGAAGCAGTCTGTATAAATACATGTCATGATGATTCTTCACTCTCTCATCAAACTAATCTCCAACTTCTCACAAAACTAACAATAATGCTAGCACTATCTCCTCCCTTATTTTCAACTCTTTTGTGGCCCTTCGACGAACCCATAAGCCATGAACATAATAATATCTATGGAGAAACAGAAACTTCAGACTCATTTCTTCCTTCTTCTTCATCTCAACCACAAGCTGGACTTCTTGATTCCACACCTTCTGTTGCAACTTTGGGTACTGATGCAACAACCATGGTTAAAAAGCTTAACCATAATGCTAGTGAACGAGATCGGCGAAAGAAAATTAACAGCTTGTATTCTTCTCTTCGTTCACTGCTTCCTGCAGCAGATCAAACGGTATGAGCTTCATTTTGTGTATTTCTGCTAAGATTATGGTGTTTGAAGGATGTAACTTATGGAAATTTACAATATATTGGTTAAATATAATTTTTTTTTGGATTAAGTTATGTGAAAAGAAATTAAATTTGATGATAAAATGTTATGATCAGTTCTCAATGTTAAGATCGATCACAACCAGCCCGAACCCTAAGAGAGCCGCCGACTTTAACTACCGTCCATCTGGCCAACTACCCATTGTCTCTCTACATTTTTTGGAGCCCATCTTTGTTTCAACAGAGTTGTTCTCAGTGACATATTTCGGTCTTCCTTCCCGTTACTTAGAAAAAGTGAGTCACCAATTCAAGTACAAGATATTATCAATATCGGCTAGACAATTAAACATTCAACCCGTAATTGCAACGGTACAACCTAAATTAATTAAGTTGTAGTCTCGCTCTCATTTTAAAGTAATTTTGGTATGATACTAAAAAATAATATTTCGCTACTGCAAACTGCAGTCTTACCCTCTATTTAAACATTTCCCACAAAACATGAGGTTCTGGCATTTTAGAAATTGGTCCATCAATAAACTCTTTTGGGCACTTAAATTTTATAAATATATTATTTTATTAATTGAAGATAGATTGATATTTTTGAGCTATTATCTGAGTTCAAACTCCAACATTAGAAATCGCCAACATGAACACAAACGAAAGATTGAATTGTATTATTTTAAAGATTTGACTATACCAAAATTGAATTCAATTTGATACGATATTGTTTGTATTTATGCATAAGTATACATATATACAAATATATAATAATTAAAATTGAGTCATGATTTAATGATATTATCTTGAAATTCAAGTGCAATTAGTTAAAATTCAGCTTGACTTTGGACCAGATCGACTTTAATTCCTTGCAAGATTCAAATATAAACTATAAAAATTAAAGTCGTTAGATACTCAGATTGAGTTTTCAAATTGGATTTTGATCAATCGAAATTGTAATCAAATCCGTCCACTAACAAGCCTAGTAACTATCGATTCGTGAGACGCAACAAGTATTAACGATGGTCATCCGATCCTTCTCTTCAACATATTGGTTGCCCTCACTGTGAAGAATTCATGGTTCCGCCCCTGTTAAGGATTAATTGGAACTTTTTTAGACTTCAATATTGATTAGTAACATGATCTTATTGGGTATAGATATTTTTGGGTATGGTACAAAAACAGTTGCTGCAGATTTTTTCCTTGTTTTATGATTGAATGTTGTCTCTTTTTTTTTTTAATAGAAACGGTAATTTTATTGATACGAACTATCATTAAAAAAAAAGACATTACAAAAATCAGAGCTCTCTCTTGCCATACAATAGAACTCTAAATAAATCTCGCATTTAGCTAAACTAAAAGCTACGCTTGTTGCCAGGTCTCGCAATTTTATGATTGAATGTTGTGTTGTTACAGAAGAAATTAAGCATTCCGGTCACAGTCTCGCGTGTGCTAAAATACGTACCAGAGTTACAAAAGGAAGTAGAGAAGCTGGTTCAAAAGAAGGAAGAACTAGTGTCAAGGATTTCTAGGCAAGAAGAGCTGGTTCAGTATTCTGGAAAGGAAAGAGAAGTAGCCATACAAAACTCTCTGTCATCTGTTTCAGCAAGTCTGGTAGGTGATAGGGAAGTTTTGATTCAGATATCTACACTTGGGATCAATAAAGGTTTACTACTCTCTGAGGCTCTAATGAGTTTGGAGGAGGATGGCCTTCTTCTGCTGCATGCTTCTAATTTTGAATCCTTTGTAGAGAGGGTTTTCTATAATCTGCATCTTCAGGTAGGATTATGATTGTTTAATTCCTTATCTATAACTGTTGCTTATGCATAAAGAATTTTTTTAAAATTAAAATTAATAAAATTTTATTTAAGATCAGATATGTCACAAGAAAGATTATGTAAACTAACTATATTATCAATGGAAAAAGATATGACAATAAAACTTGAACATAAAAATTTAATTATTACTTTTACATCTTAAAAAGCTGAGAACAATAAATTTTAAATAAAATATTAATATTAAAAACAAAAGGCCATTTTTTTAATTGTCGCTTTAAACCCCAAAATGTCATGGCCCGCCCTTGACCAACCTGGTGACACTTGATGCACAGTGAAGAAGGACCCCCTCATGCACCATAGACACATACTTGATGGGCCAAAATGAAATGGGAAAAAAAAAAACTCACGGCTTTGGTGTTTTGAGAAAATGTTTCTACTACTTGGGAATTTTTTTATTCATAAATGAAAATTTTAATGAAACTTTATGATTTTATTATTAATTGCAACAAAATGTGTTATAATGTCTTGTTTATTCATTGTTGTGTTTGGATCTAACAGGTGCAGGGCACTCAAAACATTGAGATTGAGATGATAAGGGAGAAGCTCTTGTCATTATATGAGAAGAGGATACGATGCTTGCCTTGAATTTTTGGCTCTGAATAGTCTAACAGGAGGTTGTAAAATACAAAGGGAGGTAGTAAAATACAAAAGACGAATATACTTATCCCTCAACTATGACCCTAATCTCACTTTATACCATCAACCGTAGAGTATCGCACATTGTACCACCCCAAAATCAAAATAGTCGGCATTTTTTGGATGAAAAATGTCCAAATACCACACATTTTCAACGTTTGCAATTAGGCATCGTAAAAAACAATAACCACTGTGAGAGGTGCAAATCCTGGGCCTACAAGATGTCTTAAAGGTTGGGTGTGGGACAAATTATACTTGGTCATTTTTCATGGAATTAAAGATTCAAGAGTTCCACAAGTTCAGTACCGAAAAACTAGACAAATGAGAGTTATAAGCAAAAGGTAATGGGGAGATAGGAGTGAAGACGATAGGCAAAATAGAAACGGTTAAGGGCCTCCAATGCCTTTAAAGTCTAAGCAGAAAGACTTAGCTCGGGTAGAACCGTGAATAGAATCTTGAACCTCTATTTAGTCAAATAACAACTAGATTTTTTTCTGTTTTATAAAAAATAACACTGACCTTCCCCTCTTAGTCACGTTCGTTTCTTTTGTCTAATAGAAATAAGACAGTGACTATAATGCCCTTAATCCAAAAGTTTCCCTACTTTTTTTTTTTGATATGAAACGGCAAACTTTATTAAATACTAAATGAAAATATCCTTCCGGAGAAGAGGATCCAAAAATTATGGATATTCCCCTCTCCATGCAACAGAATTATTACAATGAAAAGCATAATGAGCTAATTTTAGTTAGTTCTTTATGTCCAACAATAAAATACCATGCCATGCCACAATAAAACACAAAAAATCTAATTTATTGAATTAGTGAAATTGATTTTCAAAAGGAAAAACATAACCTATTTTATTATTTTAATGAAATAAATTTTATCCCAAAAGTCAGACCAAATCTAATCAATTTAAAATTAAGTAAAATTTATCTTCGAGAACAAATCAATCTAATTAATTTTTTTAGTTAAGTTAATTTTGTCCTTAAATCGACGTAATAAATGATTCTGCTAATCAATTCAATTAATTAAACTAAATTTAAATCAATTTCATTAATATAGTTAATTTTGTACCCAAAATTCAAACTTTAATTTAGAGACAAAATTAACTACGTAATAACATATTCAATTTTAATATTTAATCACATAAACATACAATAAAGGATTAATTGTAAACTGCACCCCAAAAGATCGTTCGAATCTCAATTTGCACTCTCAAAGATCAAAAATTTTAATTTGCACCCTCAAAGATAAAAATTTGTATCAATATGCACCTAAAATCAATTGCTATTAGTTTGTTGCCTAAAATTAAATTAATAAATTATACATAGATCTCCTCATGCTTGTCACTTACTCATTTGAACTCCTTCACATTTAGAATATTACTCCTACATCTCACGACGTTTGTGTACGTGTAACACGTAACCCTTNGAAACTTTATGATTTTATTATTAATTGCAACAAAATGTGTTATAATGTCTTGTTTATTCATTGTTGTGTTTGGATCTAACAGGTGCAGGGCACTCAAAACATTGAGATTGAGATGATAAGGGAGAAGCTCTTGTCATTATATGAGAAGAGGATACGATGCTTGCCTTGAATTTTTGGCTCTGAATAGTCTAACAGGAGGTTGTAAAATACAAAGGGAGGTAGTAAAATACAAAAGACGAATATACTTATCCCTCAACTATGACCCTAATCTCACTTTATACCATCAACCGTAGAGTATCGCACATTGTACCACCCCAAAATCAAAATAGTCGGCATTTTTTGGATGAAAAATGTCCAAATACCACACATTTTCAACGTTTGCAATTAGGCATCGTAAAAAACAATAACCACTGTGAGAGGTGCAAATCCTGGGCCTACAAGATGTCTTAAAGGTTGGGTGTGGGACAAATTATACTTGGTCATTTTTCATGGAATTAAAGATTCAAGAGTTCCACAAGTTCAGTACCGAAAAACTAGACAAATGAGAGTTATAAGCAAAAGGTAATGGGGAGATAGGAGTGAAGACGATAGGCAAAATAGAAACGGTTAAGGGCCTCCAATGCCTTTAAAGTCTAAGCAGAAAGACTTAGCTCGGGTAGAACCGTGAATAGAATCTTGAACCTCTATTTAGTCAAATAACAACTAGATTTTTTTCTGTTTTATAAAAAATAACACTGACCTTCCCCTCTTAGTCACGTTCGTTTCTTTTGTCTAATAGAAATAAGACAGTGACTATAATGCCCTTAATCCAAAAGTTTCCCTACTTTTTTTTTTTGATATGAAACGGCAAACTTTATTAAATACTAAATGAAAATATCCTTCCGGAGAAGAGGATCCAAAAATTATGGATATTCCCCTCTCCATGCAACAGAATTATTACAATGAAAAGCATAATGAGCTAATTTTAGTTAGTTCTTTATGTCCAACAATAAAATACCATGCCATGCCACAATAAAACACAAAAAATCTAATTTATTGAATTAGTGAAATTGATTTTCAAAAGGAAAAACATAACCTATTTTATTATTTTAATGAAATAAATTTTATCCCAAAAGTCAGACCAAATCTAATCAATTTAAAATTAAGTAAAATTTATCTTCGAGAACAAATCAATCTAATTAATTTTTTTAGTTAAGTTAATTTTGTCCTTAAATCGACGTAATAAATGATTCTGCTAATCAATTCAATTAATTAAACTAAATTTAAATCAATTTCATTAATATAGTTAATTTTGTACCCAAAATTCAAACTTTAATTTAGAGACAAAATTAACTACGTAATAACATATTCAATTTTAATATTTAATCACATAAACATACAATAAAGGATTAATTGTAAACTGCACCCCAAAAGATCGTTCGAATCTCAATTTGCACTCTCAAAGATCAAAAATTTTAATTTGCACCCTCAAAGATAAAAATTTGTATCAATATGCACCTAAAATCAATTGCTATTAGTTTGTTGCCTAAAATTAAATTAATAAATTATACATAGATCTCCTCATGCTTGTCACTTACTCATTTGAACTCCTTCACATTTAGAATATTACTCCTACATCTCACGACGTTTGTGTACGTGTAACACGTAACCCTTTTTCGTTAATATCTGTTAATATAACCGTTAAAAAATATGATTTTATCCTAATAAAAAATTATAATTTCATATTATCCTTTATTTTGTGGGTCCGATATACTCTAAAGTTTAAAATCAAGTTTACCATTTGAATGTCCAATAGAATATAAGTATTTATATAATATTTTTTTTATATGCAATGCAATATATCACTTAAATATAATTATTTAAATGCCCAATTGGGAGGACATTTTAGATTAAGGATGCACATTGATACAAATTTCTATCTTTGAGAGTGAAAATTGATATTTTTTTTTATTTTTGGGGATTCACATTGATACAAATTTATATCTTTGAGGGTGCAAATTAAAAATTCTTATCTTTAAGGATGTAAATTGAGATTCGAATAATCTTTTGGGATACAATTTGTAATTAATCCTACAATAAATTGCATATCAAACCAATCCCAAAAACGACAATTCACCGTCTCTGACTTCTCTATGAGAATGCTTCAACACAGGTTTCAGAGTACCACCACCACCACCACCACCACCACCGCCACCACCGCTGCCACGAAATTGATATTAGGGTTTAAGTAAAAAAGGAAGAGATAAAAGACAAACTAGGAACATAAGAACTCTAACAAATGTATTGTTGACATTTTAAAATTTGGGTTGCCTACTTCATTACATTATAGACGTCTCTATAATGACAAATTAACAGTTGGAGGAATCGGTTAAAAACAATCATAGCAGAAGGCCGAGGTCAGTGTTAACTTTCATACAAAAGGGAGTTTAGTTGTTATTTGATCAAATCTTAGGGGAGGTTGATGTAATTTTCCTTTTTTTAATGGTTGACACTATCGTAACTCGGCTTGGCCTAACCTACGGTCACACCTAGCATCATCCAATTGCAGGGACATTTGCTTGATATAGTGGGTTTTCCTTGTACCTATTCTGAATTCTTTGATGAACATTTATTTAAGGAAGATGCTATTCAACTTAAATAAAATCTAAAAAGTGTAACTCAAATACACGAGTGTTGAATAAGTGGATTCCACATAAAAAATTAATAGAACATACTCATCCAAGAGATGATATACATTTAAGTTTTAATTTTTTGGGTTTCATTTAAATTGTATAATATTACTCTTTATTTTACCCATCATAGGACTAGAAAAATTATTGTTTGATGTTTTTGAGCGACTATTTTCCATGTCATATCAAAAACCTAATAGGGTATTTGTGTTAAGGAAAATATTATATAATTCAAATGAAACTCAAAAGTTTAAATTTAAATGCATATTATCCCTTGAATGAGTGTTGGATGAATGAGTTATGCTGAAAAAATTGATGGGACACATTTATTCAAAGAATGATATACATTTGAGTTATAATTTTTTGGATTTTTTTTGAGTTTTATAGTATTATTTTTATGTTAAAGAAGATAACTAACTTTATCTATAAGAGTGTCAAACGTGTCGGGTTAAACGATTACGTATTGGGTTAAACGGGTGACGGGTGGAAAATGTATAAACCCGTACACGACATGTTTAATAAACGGGTAAAAAATCTCAATACGAACACGCTCATTTAATAAACAGATAACACGACACAACTCATTTAACCCGTTTAATTTTAAAAAAATTATATTAACAAATTTTAATACTTCATTTTTTTTATTGTCAATTGCACTTACCTCAAAAAAGAGGAATTTTTAGTCAAATCTCATAAAAATAAGACTTGAAAGCTTAAAAAATAAAAAAACAAGAGGTCATTGTTTTTTATAGGCAACTCAACCCTCTCCATCTCCCCTTATTTTTCAACGTGGGACAAAAACAAAAGGTATTGATTTGCCTTTATCTTTGATGTGCTCCTCATTTGCTCTATTTTGTCTTTGAATTACTACTTTATTTCTTTTTTCTTATTGATTTCTTTATTTTTTTTCTTGCTAATTTTTTTAAATAATTATTAATTTATTATTATATTAATTTTATACGTGTGATAAACGGTTTGATAGGTCTCACCCGAACACGACCCGTTTATTAAACGTGTTTAGCATGTCAATCCGTTTATCACCCAAACTCATTTAATTCGTATCGATTAATCGTATCGTGTCAAATTTTGACATATATATATATATATCATTGTCAAAAAAGACAACAAAGGCATTACTTTTGCCAAACAAAAACAGCTCGCAACCACCACTCAAGGAAAAGAAAATCTCTTCCAAAAAGAAGCCGGGTTACAATTGCTATGTCAATTCATCCTTGAATTTGTCTTGTATGGCCATCAATGATTTAAAAGGTTGGTAGAGCTAGGAATGACATTCTTGCTTCCGAGGATTAAAATTTTGTTTAGAAACAGGTGCAACGTTTAAAATATTTTTATTTTTAAGGAGGTCAAAACAAATTGGCGATGAAATTAAAATTTTTAACACTTCGAGGTATTTCATAATATTTTGAAGTGTTTTAGAATATTTTAATGAATTTGCACAATTATTTCAGAAAATTTTAAGGTATTTCAAGATATTTTAGTATATTTCAACCAATATATTATAAAAATATTCTTTCTTTTTTTCATTATATTTTTGAAATAAATCAAAATATTTTTACAATATGTCGAAATATTTTTATTTCTTAATTGGCTAAAACAATAAACTAAAATGAAATTTTAATCTTTGTTACTAAAGGGTTTGGTTCTTCCGGAATGAATATATGACTATTCGGCGTAACGAGTACCTTACCAAGTTAAGTGTTATAACAAAATTTACAACTAAATTAGGGCTAGACACAATTAAGTTGTTGTCAAAGTACGATAAAAAAAAAAGTTAAGCACAAATACGACACATTTTGGTCTCATTACAATTTAAAAAAATTGTGATCGATTTTAAAACATTATAATTAATCTTAACAACCTTATCTAATTATGACTGATAACGAGTAATACCGTGAGGAAATAGTGAAAAGAACTCTTATCGGGGAGTGAAATAGAACAAGAAATTGTAAGCTCCCAAGCAATGGGAGGAGCCCCGGACTCTGACCACATACTTGTTAAAGAATGAATCGATGACTCATTAGCAGTGACTTAGGTAAAAGAACCACCAGAGCCGTAACGAAAGCGAGCCTTTATAGGACAGCTACCACTACTTATGGAACCCAACCTGACCTCAGCACAATAAGTCATAACATTACTCTTATTTTTGTAGTATTTTTGGTATGACATTCAAAGCAACTCTTTGATATTGGAATCTTACACCTGAATCAAGTTGCAAAATTATATTAATTTAAGCAGATTCTCCTATAAACCTGATCACAGAAGCCGAAAGGTTCTAGAAGCATTTTTAGAGTTCATATTGTCAAGATGTTTGGAGACGTGGGGTGGAAGATCTATTCCAGTACAATTTTATATATGTACATCTCTCACTCATTAGTGGATGATTCGTCGAGAACAGAATTGAAGAGAAAAATATATTAAAGAATCTCAATGTATAGAGGGATAAATTTCACTTACACTCTCTAGATTACTCATATTTTACTAACATTCCTTCTAATTTCTAAAATATCAAGCACATTCTTGTCAATTTTTGTCGGTTAATAGAGTTAACGAAGAATGTGATTTTACATAATTTCCATTACGAGAACTCCCATTTTACAAGGGTGTTATTCAATTTTACCATTATATTTTTATTTTTATCCCATATTATGCCATAACCTAGCCATGTTCACAATTTTGTTTTTTACCAGAGGAGTTTAAATGTCCACTGCACATATTACCATTATTAACATAATTGCACCAAATTAATAAAAAATTAATGTACAATTTCATTAAATCAACATTTAGTTTTGTCTCATTAACAACAAATTAATATTCAATTTCATTAAATTAGCGTTAAATAAACCATCAATGTTATCAAATTGACATTAAATTTTGTCTAATTAATATTCACATTCATCAAATTAGCATTTAATTCATCCAACAGACATTACATTTTATTAAACTATTACCAAATTAATATTCAATTTCATAAAATTAACACCAAATTAATATTTAATTTTATTAAATCCATATTAAACTTTATTTAATTTGGTAGAAATTTAACATTCAATTTTATCAAACTAATATCAAATTAACATAAAATTGATCTTAAATTTTATAAAATTATCATTTTATTTCATCAAATTAACATTCAATCTCATCAAATCGATATTCAATTTTATCAAATTATTTAAAATTTAATTTTATTAAGCTAACCCCAAATTAACCTTTCATTTGATAGTATTTATATTTACTTTCATCAATTTAACAATTAATTTTATTAAATTAATATCATTTCTTATTTAATCTCAAATTAACTTTCAATTTCATCCAATCAATACTATGTTATCATTCAATTCTATAAAACTAACAATCAATTTTTGATTATGAGTCGGGGGATGCGAACATAGCAGCCCTAAAATACTTTCCGCTCAATCTTAAAAGCGAAAAACCTCCATTTTGAGACCGCGACCATCGTTGTGCACTTTCTCACTGACTTAGTTATAAAAGAATAAGTCCTCACATCACAAGTTTTTTAACTCACGAACAACATAGATGGTAAGGTTAGTGTGTGAAGCGTCTATATAAAATTATAAGAGTGTACAGTGATATTTTAAAAAAACATCACAGAGTGGTAGTAAAATATGACTTAAATTTAAGGGATGTGAGTGAAATTTATCCAATAAGGATAAAGTGTGCTTCCACGTGACATGGTGTGTGCTTCCACGTGATATGGGGGATTGGTGCCTGTGCAGATGAGTAGCAAGCCTACGTTGGGCTTATGCAAACCTCATGCAAGGCACACGCACTTTATAAGTTCAACCCTTGCAACTCTCTCTCTTTCTCTGTGCCTGCGTGTAGCGATGAATTTGGAGGAGAATGGAAGGGGGCTGCCCTCAGTTGTTCTGAAAAATCCATTAAAAAAAAAAACTTTACAATCACAGGGAGTTCATACTTCAGCTTGTAACTACTCAAAGAAATTAAACACATACAACAACTTAGAGGGCCGTTTTTATATCACAATTTGCATTATTTTTTCGCAAGTCATTTTAGATTTGTCAATCGTAGCGGGTTTGGCATATTCATGTCAGATTTTAGTGGGATCATTTCAAAAAAATACTTAAATCATGTCCAATTCATTTTTTGTGTCCAATTCATTTTTTTTTTTTTTGATTGATTTCATCTATATCTAATTTATCTATTAATCATGACGCGTCGAGTTCATTCTAGGGTTAGCCCTTGCGTGCATAGTAATGAATAAACCTCTTCAATCTTTCCTTTCGGAGGCAAAAAATATTCTGACTAGAGTCGAAGTCGAAGTTGAAAGTCGGAAATCAAAAGTCACAATTCATGGTTCTGACTCTGTTAGAGTCAGTATCCACCCTTAGTTAAGGCGTTTACAAAATGGGTGGTTTAAAGACAACACCCCTAAACCTTCAAATTTTATATCGTTTTTTTTTGTGTGCTTAATTTTATATCATTTTTGTGTTGTGATAACGAGTGATGTCACATTTAAGGGTCAATCACACAAATGGTTTGAAGGAACCAAGCACGCAAATGGGCATAAAAAATGGATATTAGCTCGATGTCTCCTTTTTTACTTCCACAAGAAAGCCCTAATTCGTTGAATGTGTGTGACTTGTAAATCATTGTGTGTATCTGGAATTATTGTTGTGAATGATTGGAACGATGCTGTGCAAAGTTCTAGAGTTACTGCCACCAACCTTCACTATGGTTAGATCAGCTTCTTCTTTATTTCATTTTGATATTCTTCTTCTTAGAATTGTGTTCGTACTTTTCTTTATGATACCATTGCTATTTTTTTTTGGTAACCCTAAGCATGAACCCTTTTGTGCTCTTGCATATCTTACTGGGGGAATTCTTCTTCTACGGATGCCCCAGGAAACCCTAGACATTATTATTCACTCAATAATGTTTTATAATTGTGTTAATTGTTTTTGGTTAAGTAAGTGGTATATAAACGCTGTAGAATATTCGAGTAATCCTCCTTAATAATTATATTTCCTTTGCACTAGGTAAATACTACGATAAATCCTTCAATAAACCGAAAAAATATTTAGTTCTGCCAACCATTAGCTTGTTCAAAACCAATTCTAAATATTATACTCCTAACCAATATCATTATTGTTTGGCCCTTGTTGCACCTGGGATGAGATTTGTTTGAAATGCAAACGCTTCTGTGAATTGATAGGTTGTGTTCGAATAAATCTTCGTATTAAAAATAAAATGTCATTTTCTCACTTATCTCACTGGAAGTAATTTTCAATTTATAGGATGACTTTGAACAAAAAAAAATTTATAGGATGACAATTTTTTTTTTATAGATTTTAACCTTTTATATTACTTGCATATGTGATAAATGACAGCAGTCTGTATAAATACCTTCCATTATCATTGACTTTCTCATCAAACTAAGCTCCAAATTCAAACAAACTAACAACAATGCTAGCATTATCCCCTCCTTTGTTTTCAACTTTTATGTGGCCCTTAGAGGAACATATAGGCCATGAACTGAATAATATCTATAGAGAAACAGAAACTTCAGACTCATTTTTTCCTTCTTCTTTATCTCAGCCACAAGCTGGACTTCCTGAATCCATACTTTCTGGTGCAACTTGGGGTGATCCGACGATGGTTAAGAAGCTTAATCATAATGCTAGTGAGCGTGATCGGCGAAAGAAAATCAACAGCTTGTATTATTCTCTTCGTTCACTGCTTCCAGCGGCCGATCAAACGGTATGAACTTCATTTCCCTTGTAGTCCTGGGACATATGGAAATAGTATGATCCGAGTATCATCTATTTCAATACTTTTTCTTTCCTTGTCATTCCTTTTTTTTTGATAAATTCTTGTCATTCCTTAAATCCAAGAGGTTTGATCCTTTTGTAATGACCCATTTTCTCATTGACCAAAAAAATGAGATTGATTTTTGTATCTAAAGGACAAAGTGAAATCTGTTTTGAAATTTTATTTAAGAAATGAAAAAACAATCCTTGCACAAGAATAATTTCTTTAATCTATACCCAAAAAATCTATACCCAAAACATGATTTGCTCGATAAATATCAATTTATGAAATTGAAGGAATAAAAAAATCTCACCAATTATAGAATCAAGTCGAAACTTTGTCCTTAAAAGTTGATTCACGTCCCTTGGAGTCGATGACTCTCGGTGTGAAAGGTGATTGACACGACAACCTCCAAAGATTTTTATAATATCTTCTTCACTTGCACGCTTGCTGTGAAGGGTAATGAACAAACCTCTTCAATCGTTGCTTTTTTAGGCTAGTTCAGCTGCCATCTCCTCACTTCTTATTGACGTGGGATTGTATTCCAAAGGCATAAAAATGCCTTCCCAGCATTTTTTGTTTTGTCCAAAGGCAAATTCCTTCTTTGCTTTTTGTGTTTCATAACAAAATTTAAATATATTTTTTAATATGACGCTCTCAAAATACTCTCACTCTGATATTTTTTTGAATTTTGTCATTTTTATGCTCTAGCTCTCGCACATGCTCCCGTTCTATGTGATCTACGTTATAACTTCTCTTTTGTCCATTGCAACTTAAATTTTAACAGTTGTAATAGTGATAATCGATCATAACATTTTGAACTTGATCATGTTTTTCACAATTGTAACTTACATCTTATAAAAAGTTGTAATTTGATTTTAAAAAATTATTTCATTCTGGTGCTGTATTCTTCCCCTATGATCTCATCTGATGTTGATTTGATCTTTATTGAGTCTACTTTTTTTCGGTTATAGTAGTGCTGCTGATTTTTTTTCCTGGTTTTTATGATTGAAATGTTACCTTCTTACAGAAGAAATTAAGCATCCCGGTCACAGTCTCGCGTGTACTAAAATACGTACCAGAGCTACAAAAGGAAGTGGAGAAGCTTGTTCAAAAGAAAGAAGAACTAGTGTTAAGGATTTCCAGACAAGAAGAGTTAGTTCATTCTGGGAAGCAAAGAAAAGTAGCCATCCAAAACTCTCTGTCAACTGTTTCAGCAAGTCTTGTAGGTGATAGAGAAGTTGTGATTCAGATATCTACACTTGAGATCAATAAGGGTTTACTACTCTCTGAGGCTCTAATGAGTTTGGAGGAGGATGGTCTTCTTCTGCTAAATGCTTCTANTGTGATCTATGTTATAACTTCTCTTTTGTCCATTGCAACTTAACTTTTAACAGTTGTAATAGTGATAATCGATCATAACATTTTGAACTTGATCATGTTTTTCATAATTGTAACTTACATCTTATAAAAAGTTGTAACTGGATTATAAAAAATTATTTCATTCTGGTGTTGTATTCTTCCCCTATGATCTCATCTGATGTTGATTTGATCTTTATTGAGTCTACTTTTTTTCGGTTATAGTAGTGCTGCTGATTTTTTTTCCTGGTTTTTATGATTGAAATGTTACCTTGTTACAGAAGAAATTAAGCATCCCGGTCACAGTCTCGCGTGTGCTAAAATACGTACCAGAGCTACAAAAGGAAGTGGAGAAGCTCGTTCAAAAGAAAGAAGAACTAGTGTCAAGGATTTCCAGACAAGAAGAGTTAGTTCATTCTGGGAAGCAAAGAAAAGTAGCCATCCAAAACTCTCTGTCAACTGTTTCAGCAAGTCTGGTAGGTGATAGAGAAGTTGTGATTCAGATATCTACACTTGAGATCAATAAGGGTTTACTACTCTCTGAGGCTCTAATGAGTTTGGAGGAGGATGGTCTTCTTCTGCTAAATGCTTCTACTTTTGAATCATTTGGAAAGAGGGTATTCTATAATCTGCATCTTCAGGTAGGGTGATAATTGTTTGTCTACACTTAGCTATGTTAACTCGTAGGAATGTTTGGTTAGGGTATTAAGGGTATGTAGATTGGACTAACACACTACTAACTAAACTGATGTAATAGGTAACATAAAATCACAAGCTAGCCTTACAATTGATATTAGGATAACGAGTCCACACCTTATCGATAGGATAAAATTATAAACCGATTACTACCACTTATGTGAATATTAAAAACTTTTGATTTAACACAATGAGAACTTAAGGAATCCGAGTGCATATTTCAAAGACAACCTATTTTTTTATTCTTGTAATTTATGTTCCTCCCTAAAACTAACACAAACATTGGCAGGATGATGATATCCTGTTTCTTGCCTGACTCATATGAAAGAGGGTTACATGGTCACTGAGCCCCATTTTACACGATTTGCATAACCGCACCCAGCTTTAGTTCCACCAACCTCTCCCCTCATTCCATTCTTTTTTGGCTAGTAATTATTAAGAGAAATCTCGATCTCTTAGAAAACCTGATTAATCTTTTCGGGCATATTTACCCTTCCTGTCCCAATGCACAAGACAACTAGTAGGACATATTTGGGGAGGTGAACCTAAGGGAAGATTCGAGCTCAAGGCCTCCACTTTGTCGAGTGGGGGCCTTAGCCACCTAGCTAACTTGTATATCTATTGGGAACATTTAGTTTTGGAAAATACGATTTGGATCTACTTAGAAATATAATTCAATGTTGATATTAAATTAGTTCACAATTAATCCCGTGATTGTATTGAATTAGGTCACTAATTAATTGTACTTTTACCAACATGGTGATCCTTAATGCATATTGAAGGACCTCCTCAATGAGCCAAAGTGAAAGGAAAAAATCGCTTAGAGCTGTGGGGTTTTGTTAAAATGCTTAATTCGTACTTGGAATATTTAAACTTTCAAACCCCAAAGTAGTTCAAGTAGTAATAGAGGTGAGCTATAAATTCAGACGTCCTAAATTTGAATCTTGATAACCCCTAGGGGTAGACCATGAAGGATTTATCTCTCATGAATACCCTAATCTTAGTGTGGTTGATCTGCCTTTGATTGAAATGGAAAGGGGATTAGTCGAGGTGCACGAAAGTTAATCNGGCATAAAAATGCCTTCCCAGCATTTTTTGTTTTGTCCAAAGGCAAATTCCTTCTTTGCTTTTTGTGTTTCATAACAAAATTTAAATATATTTTTTAATATGACGCTCTCAAAATACTCTCACTCTGATATTTTTTTGAATTTTGTCATTTTTATGCTCTAGCTCTCGCACATGCTCCCGTTCTATGTGATCTACGTTATAACTTCTCTTTTGTCCATTGCAACTTAAATTTTAACAGTTGTAATAGTGATAATCGATCATAACATTTTGAACTTGATCATGTTTTTCACAATTGTAACTTACATCTTATAAAAAGTTGTAATTTGATTTTAAAAAATTATTTCATTCTGGTGTTGTATTCTTCCCCTATGATCTCATCTGATGTTGATTTGATCTTTATTGAGTCTACTTTTTTTCGGTTATAGTAGTGCTGCTGATTTTTTTTCCTGGTTTTTATGATTGAAATGTTATCTTCTTACAGAAGAAATTAAGCATCCCGGTCACAGTCTCGCGTGTACTAAAATACGTACCAGAGCTACAAAAGGAAGTGGAGAAGCTTGTTCAAAAGAAAGAAGAACTAGTGTCAAGGATTTCCAGACAAGAAGAGTTAGTTCATTCTGGGAAGCAAAGAAAAGTAGCCATCCAAAACTCTCTGTCAACTGTTTCAGCAAGTCTGGTAGGTGATAGAGAAGTTGTGATTCAGATATCTACACTTGAGATCAATAAGGGTTTACTACTCTCTGAGGCTCTAATGAGTTTGGAGGAGGATGGTCTTCTTCTGCTAAATGCTTCTACTTTTGAATCATTTGGAAAGAGGGTATTCTATAATCTGCATCTTCAGGTAGGGTGATAATTGTTTGTCTACACTTAGCTATGTTAACTCGTAGGAATGTTTGGTTAGGGTATTAAGGGTATGTAGATTGGACTAACACACTACTAACTAAACTGATGTAATAGGTAACATAAAATCACAAGCTAGCCTTACAATTGATATTAGGATAACGAGTCCACACCTTATCGATAGGATAAAATTATAAACCGATTACTACCACTTATGTGAATATTAAAAACTTTTGATTTAACACAATGAGAACTTAAGGAATCCGAGTGCATATTTCAAAGACAACCTATTTTTTTATTCTTGTAATTTATGTTCCTCCCTAAAACTAACACAAACATTGGCAGGATGATGATATCCTGTTTCTTGCCTGACTCATATGAAAGAGGGTTACATGGTCACTGAGCCCCATTTTACACGATTTGCATAACCGCACCCAGCTTTAGTTCCACCAACCTCTCCCCTCATTCCATTCTTTTTTGGCTAGTAATTATTAAGAGAAATCTCGATCTCTTAGAAAACCTGATTAATCTTTTCGGGCATATTTACCCTTCCTGTCCCAATGCACAAGACAACTAGTAGGACATATTTGGGGAGGTGAACCTAAGGGAAGATTCGAGCTCAAGGCCTCCACTTTGTCGAGTGGGGGCCTTAGCCACCTAGCTAACTTGTATATCTATTGGGAACATTTAGTTTTGGAAAATACGATTTGGATCTACTTAGAAATATAATTCAATGTTGATATTAAATTAGTTCACAATTAATCCCGTGATTGTATTGAATTAGGTCACTAATTAATTGTACTTTTACCAACATGGTGATCCTTAATGCATATTGAAGGACCTCCTCAATGAGCCAAAGTGAAAGGAAAAAATCGCTTAGAGCTGTGGGGTTTTGTTAAAATGCTTAATTCGTACTTGGAATATTTAAACTTTCAAACCCCAAAGTAGTTCAAGTAGTAATAGAGGTGAGCTATAAATTCAGACGTCCTAAATTTGAATCTTGATAACCCCTAGGGGTAGACCATGAAGGATTTATCTCTCATGAATACCCTAATCTTAGTGTGGTTGATCTGCCTTTGATTGAAATGGAAAGGGGATTAGTCGAGGTGCACGAAAGTTAATCCGAACACTCCTAACTGTTAATCAAAAAAATTCATAAAACCAAGTTTTCATGGAACTATATGATATTATTAACTACTATAAAATGTGCTCAAATGCCTTTCTTATTCATTGTGGGCTTTGGATCTAACAGGTGCAGGGGACTCAAAATATCCAGATTGAGATGCTAAGGGAGAAGCTCTTATCATTATACGAGAAGAAGATATGACCTTTGCCTTCAATGTTTGGCTGCAAATAGTCAGGAAGTTGTAAAATACAAAGGAAAAATTACATCAAAGCCAATAATCATAGTTAAGGTGCAATGTGACAAATACGAGAGAGGGCCAACGCCCAAATCATATGCATTTTCAATGTTCACAATTGGAGCAATGTAAAACTAACAATCATAGTTATAAGTGGAATGTGATAACGACGACAATTAAGTGGCAATGTGGAATCAATAACCATAATTAGAGGTTTAATGTGAGAAATGATAATGAATGGACAATATAATATAATATGTGTGGTGACTTTTTGAAAGTAATTTAGAATTAACTAAACAAATTCAAATATGACAATCAATATAATTCAAAGACTATATGGATATCTAAAAAGAAATCTATTAAAAGAATAGTACGTTTGTATATTTAACACTAATCCAACTTATTTATTATTCATGTTAATCGGTCGCTAATACATTTTGAGGCCTCACTTATTGTGGCGGACGAATAAAAAGTATTTGTATCCGCAAATGCACTTTTAAACTTTTTTTCTTGTGGTACCCCCCTAATGTAGAACGAAAATTAACAATTATTCTATTTTATTTTTGTTATTTTTATTTTTATTATTTTGTTTGGGTGAGACTTTAATTAAGAATTTTCTAGAATATTTAGTTGCTTAAACTATGTCTATTTTTTTAATTCATTAGACATGTGTTTTATTGTTTTTGGTAACTTTCTTAAAGTTAGAGATTTGTTTCTATATTGGAGAACTTAGATTTTAGTTTTTCCTATAAATTGTCAATGTCATATGTACAATTTTACGTAATTGATTGAATAATACACATTTTTGCAGAGATATTCTCTTGTTACTTTCTCATTCAGAATATTTGTTCTATACACTTAAAATCACAGTGTTCTTTGTATCTTTTTGTTCCGCTGCATCACCCCCCTCTTTCTCTAGAAAAATTGGACCCCTTCCTCCAAATTGGATCCCAAATCACTAGTAATTGAATGAACCTGGATTTTACATGAATCTTCGGCATAACGAATACGATACCAAGATAAGTGTTGTAACAAAAATTATAATTAAATAGGGGTTAATTAAAATTAATTTGAGATCATATTACGATTCAAAAGACTCAAGTAGTTTCGAAAAAATATGATCGACCCCAAACAACTCTATCTTATTAAGTTGTAATATTAATCTTATTTTGTAATAACTTTTGGTACAACATTGAAATTAACTGCTTAATTATAAGGAGAGTCTTTGGAGCAAATGGTTGCATTTATACTTCTTAAAGCAAAAGAGTTTATGGGATCAAGGCTGATCAAACTTGCTCTTGGAATTGGAGGAACCTGTTAAAGTTAAGAGATGTTATAAGACCATTTATGGCTCATAAAATTGGGAATGGGCAACACACCAGTTTCTGATATGATAATTGACACCCTCTTGGCCCTTTATTTCTTAGAGGCTGGCCAAGGATCTGGGCTAGAATCCCTAAAACTGGTTGCTAAGCTTATCTCTAATAATCAATGGAGTTGGCCAAGAAGTATCTGTAATGAAGGATTTGATATTGCTCAAGCTTGGTCCAGCTATCTGCCTAACCAGAATACAAATGATGTGTTCACTTGGAGTCTCACCTCAGATGACAAGGTCTCTACTGGCTCAGCATGGGACATAATCAGCGATTAGTCACCAACAATTCCTTGGTACAATCTGATCTGGTATGCTCAGGTTATCCTCAGAATGTATTTTATCCTTTGGCTAGCTATTAAAGGAAGGTTGAATACGAAGGATAGGATTTGCCTATTCCAACCAGTCTGGTGTCCAATGCATCCTATGCAGGCTTGCTAATGAATCACATGAACACTTGTTCTTTGAGTGTGAGTTCTCTAGCAGAATTTTGGACTGCTATCTTGCAAATCAGTGGAGTCCAATGGTAGAATAGGTCCTAGTTCAATTTTGTTGATTGGGCAGCTATCGGATGGAAAGGAAAGAGTATGAAAGCTTGTACTCTTAGGATCACTCTGGCTGTTACTGTTTACTATCTGTTGATGGGAAAAAACACCAGGATCTTTAGGAACCAATTTAAGGATCCCACTACAAGGATTGGCTTCTCTTATAAATTCAAGGGAAGCCCTTTGAACCTTGGTTTATTGCATAGCTGGAACCTCCCAGGGGACTGTCTCCATGACTAATTGGTATCATGCTTTGATGATTTGTCTACCATTGTATTCTTTTGTCAATAAATCTGTGGGAGATGCTCTTACCTTGGGCATCTCTTACAAACTTATGTTTTGAGACTTTGTTTTTTGATTTTGTCTTTTAATCCTGTGCGACTTCATTGTACCTTCCAGAAAAAGGGAAAAAAAACATCGAAATCAACTGTTTGATATTACCCCAATCTTACCCAGGAATCAAATTGCTAAATCAGACTAATTCAAGCAGATTCTCCTATAAACCTGATCACAAAAGCCGAAAGGGTCTAGCTCATATTTTTTATGGATTGTTGTCAGAGCCGTGGAGTCACATGACAGACTGGCTTTGTGCTCGTGCATATGAGTAGCAAGCCTACTTTGGCCATGTGCATCCCCATGCACGGCACACGCACACCATAAGTTCAACCGTTGCTACTCTCTCTCTCTCTCTCTGTTTGCGTCGAAGGATTCGGAATAAATACTCATTGTAAAAGTAACACTATCTCATTATTATTACGGGGTAGCTATTTTTTTTATATAGATAAAGTAGTTGTTAAATCATGCGGGGTTTACTTGTTTAAATATAAGTTTATTAGTAATTGTTCATACCTAAATATATTATATATAAAAAAAAATCAAAATTAAGAGGCATACAAATTAAAAAGCTGCTACAAAAATAATATATGGAGCATGTTAGGGTGGATAATAAATATATTTGAATCGAATACCTATTCCACAAACAACAATTACATAATAGTCGTTAGGGGGGAAGAGGGCGCGGGGTGGTGGTGTTGAGGCATTTCAACAACTAATTGATGTGCAAGATCGGCAGGTGGCTAGCAGTCATTAGGGCGGAAGAGGGCGAGGTCATGGCTGTGTTTTGGTAGTTTTGGTTACTGGCTTGAGGGTGAATTTTTCCATTTTATAAAATTATACAAATATTTGACTTTGTTATTTTTTTATTGGTGATTAGTTTGGTTTGAATTTCTACAACCTGTAAATTTTTTTTTATAGATTGATTTTGAATATTTTTTTTTTTGTGCAATTGGTTTCACTTGTTTTTTTTATTGGTCATTGTTTTTTTTTTTTTTTGGTAATTAGCTTGGCTTTGAATTTTTTTTTGTTTTTTTAGTGCAATTAGTATCACTTGTTATTTTTTTTTTATTGACGATTAGCAATCAAACTCAATCATGCAACCAAAAAAAAATCATCAAGAAAATTGAAATTTCATTTGAAAAATTAAACACCTGCAATGTCTAAAGTTTGTCATTTACATTTGTTTTTTAATTTTCGGCTGAACTGGATTTTTTTTTTTTTTAAAATAGCAATAAATGACATCAATTTTCTTGATAATGCACCATATCTTCGTCAAGATTTTCAACCAAAAGTATATAACTCCATTCTCTTAAAAAAATTTATTATCATGTTGCCTTGGTAATTTATTGTACAAAATTGTCAAGATAGGTTAGATAAAAAACTTTAATTTCTTTAATACGTGTACACTGCAAATTATTGATCGAGTATATCTGAAAAGGCATGGTTGCCATTTTTGACTCGTAAGAAAATTTTAATTTTTTTTATATGTGTAAACTATAGATCATTGGGTGTATTTAAAATGACATGACCAGAGTGATTTTCCGAATTCAAGAAAAAAAATAAAAAGGAAAGAGAATTAAGTTTGTATAGGTGTGCGAGGTTGTAATAACCACCTTCCATGAGATTTAGTGAAATAATAACCAGACCCCTTCTTATTTGGCAAATAACATTACACTCCCTTATGATTTGATTGTCTGTAACAAATTCCTTCAACCGTTAGTGTGTCGTTAAGAAAAACGTCAAAAAATTGCTGACGTAGGCAATCTATTTTGTTTTTTAAATATCAATATTACCTTTATCCAAGTTATAGTCAAACTAAACTCATTTCCAAATAATTCCTGTTCTTAGTATAGCCAACCTAAAACTAGTGGCCAAACAACTAATTTATGTATACTCCATCCTCAATCCTCCTCAATCATTGGTCAGTGTCACCATGGCCCACCCCTCTCTGTCTCTCTCTCACTAATGAAACTTCCTCAATCATCCTCAATCCTCGTCAATCATTTTTTTTTACCGAAAAATCTAATCCGACAATTAGATGTATATAATAATACAATATAAATTAAATTTTATTTTTTACTAATAAATAAGTTTAAAATAATTTAAAAATCAAATACTATTAATAAAATTGTGTTAAAGAACTTAAAAGTCAAATTAGTATAGAAAATAAAAATTAAATGAAAGTAATAAAGAATTTAGAAGTTAAATATGGTTAATAAAAGAATCTAAATACATTTAGAAGTCAAATAGGTATAGAAAATAAAAATTAAATGAAAGTAAAATGAAAATTTTAATTTTTTTTTCAAAAAATAAAAAAGGAAAAAGAACTAATTATATTTTATTATGTATAGGCGTGAGAGGTTGTAGAGTTGTTGTCACCAACCCTCACTATCTTTACATCAACTCATTTTTTATTTCATTTTGACATTCTTCTTCTTGTACTTGTCATTCTGATACTTAATTTGCAAAGCTATTCATGAATTCTTTGTCCGTTTCTATATCTTACATGGGGGAATTATTGTTCGACAAGATGCCACAGAAATTCCTGGACATTGTTGTTCACTCTATAATGTTTTTGATAATTTTTTCAATTTCATTTTTTCGGCCGGGTATTTGCACTTCTTAGAATATTCGATTAATCCACGACTCTTGATATTTATAATTCTTCACGCTATGTAACTACTACTACTACTACGATAAATCCTTAAATAAATAGAGTAGAAATAATTTGGTTTTGAAGCCAAACAAAAGCATTAGCTTGTACAAACTCTAATTCGAATTGTACATTACAAATCAAATTGAATAACCAACATGTGAATTCCAAGTAAACAATTTACGTTCCAATATCATTATTCTTTGGCTTTGTTTGTGGTCGAGATGAGCTTTGTTTAACCAAATGTTGAGTTAGATTGTTTCATTGTGACTTAAGCATTAAGAGTTCGCATTGTTGATTGAAAATATTAATCAATCAAAGAAGAGAAAAGAGAAGAAAAAGAGAAAATGGAAGAATTCATTAATTTGTTGTAAGAATAAATTTAATATTCTATCATAACAATAACTAGTTACAATAGATAATATATATAAAACCCTATTAGAAGAGAAAGATTAAAATATCCTTAATGATAAATAAACGTAAATATAAATACAATCTTAACACTTATATCTTACTCTCTATAAATTTTAGAATGTCAAGAATCTTGTGTACTATACCGTCTTTTTAAATAATTTTTTTTTTCTATAGCATCACTTTTTTTTTTTGGGTAAATAGATAGAAAAACTTGTACGAAAAATATAAGGTTCACTCTGGCCATCTATTATTTCTAACTGATTTTTCCTTTTATCGGAAAGAAAACCTCTTGCTATCATTTTGACATCGACTAATGTTATTCAGACCTAAAAATTTGACATTTTCCTTAATTGTCCAATAGAGCATCCGTTTTTGTAACTCTACCATGTGAATTTTTTCCCTCCCTTTTGTAATCACATCCACAACACACACATCAGTTTAGCAGGCACAAACATGTCAAGTGATAAAACTAATTACTAGTTTTAGGCTAATGGTACGGTAAGTCAACTATACTTGTATATTTATGTGTTGATTGAACTTGCTTCATAGACAAGACTTATTTAGTAGCACGCTTCGGACGAAGCCGGAGCCCAATTCCCTTGACCTATTCTATATTAGTTTCTGAGGTGATTGATGGAAGCAGTTTGAAGAAAAACATGTCAAGATAATAAACTTTATCCTCGAACTAAGTTAAAAAAACTCATAGACTACCAAAAATACTAGCATTATCATCCCCTCCTTTGTTTTCAACTTTATGTTGCCCTCAGAGGAACCCATAAGCCAAGAACTCAATAATATCAATGGAGAAACAGAAACTTCAGACTCATTTCTTCCTTCTCCTTCATCTCAGCCACAAACAGGAGTTCCTGATTCCACACTTTCTGGTGGAACTTTAGGTGATGCAACCATCGTTAATAAACTTAATCATAACGCCAGTGAGCGTGATCGCCGTAAGAAAATCAACAGCTTGTTTTCTTCTCTTCGTTCATTGCTTCCAGCAGCAGACCAAACGGTATGAGCTCATCTTCTGTATCAATGCAAAGAATGGTCCGAGTATCATTTTCTGTACCAAACCCACAGGTTTGATGTTTGGAATTTGACCCATTTTCTCAATACGAAATAAATAAGAGTGGCTTTTCAATCAAAAGTACTTCCTGAATCTTTCGATTTTTTCATCTTCCCCTATCCCATAAAAATGCCAGGCTCAAAAGCATTCGAGTATATCATTTTTTGATTAGCTGCAAGCGATCTTCTTATTTTACTAGTATTATTAGAATCGTTTGTTGTCTTGATCTAAATATAAGCCTTTAGGCTAATATGTCGATAAAGAAATCTTTCTAATGCAACGGGAAAACAGTAACTGATCAAGAGAGTTATACCCATAAAACATGAAGTCCATCAGTGACTTCTTTTGGGCACTTCTGAGGCCTAACCAAGTACCAACTCTCTTCAATTCCTGTTCTGAACGGTGAGCTCCACTAGCTTCCTCCGGGAAAACCCGTGAATTTGACTTTGATCTTTTATTATTATTATTATTATTACAATTATTAGATAGTAAATTTGAATTTGTAATCACCACTCCTACAAGATGGATTAACCATCTCAGATAGGTCCGAACGTCTAGTTGACTTTGATCTAAATTAGCCCTTGTGGCCAAAAAAACAAAAAAAAAAATCAGCTTTCCGAGGGAAATGCTAGGAAGCACTTACAATTTCATTTCTATATGTTTTATATTGTGTTTTTTAAAGGTTAGGACATATTACATATATTATTATATTCTAAAAACCAATACATAAAATTCAACACTAAATGCAAGTACATATTTATTGGTAGTACAAAGTTTTACAGAAAATTACAAATACACATCCCAAAAGTACATATCTTGGTTTTTAGGTTTTCCTATAGTACACTACAATTTTATGCCAAAGTAAATTTTTTGTGAATTTGATCTCATTTAATTTTAGAGTAATGTTATTTGAATTTAAAAATTTGACTTAATTTATTAATTTAATGATATGACTTCATTAGAATTATTAATTCAGAATCAAGTTTTAATGTTTGATGGAGTTAATAGTCAATCCAAATGTAATAGTCAATTAGGTCAATAAATTAGATTTTAATAACGTTGCTCTTAATTTTAAGTTGTCTACCGTATCAGAATTTTTTTTTTTTTTTTTGGTATTCTACCGACTTTTATCATATTTGTGGATGTGAAAAATGTGATAAAAATAATCATTAGAATAGAAATAAAAATACTCATAAATATGATAAATTATTTACAAAAATAGTAAAATTTTTAGTTATAAAATGATGCATAAAAATTATAAAAAACATCCATTAAAGTAATAAACTTTAGAGGTACGGAATCAAATTTTTTTTCCAGTACCTTAGTCTAAGTCCTAATTTTAACCTAATCTTTTTGAGTTCGTACTTTTTCCTGGTTTCCATGAGTGAATGTTACCTTGTTCGTTGTTGCAGAAGAAATTAAGCATTCCGGCTACAGTTTCACATATGCTAAAATACATTCCAGAGCTACAAAAGGAATTGGAGAAGCTGGTTCAAAAGAAGGAAGAACTTGTATCAAGGACCTCCAGGCAAGACGAGCTGGTTATTAAATCTGGAAATAAAAGAAAAGTAGCCATCAAAAAATCTTTGTCAGCTGTCTCAGTAAGTCTGGTAGGTAATACTGATAGAGAAGTTCTGATTCAGATGTCCTCAGTTGGGGTCGATGAGGGTCCTTCACTCTCTGAAGCTTTAATAAAATTAGAGGAGGATGGTCTTCTTCTGCTAAATGCTTCTACTTTTCAATCATTTGGAGAGAGGGTAGTCTATAATCTCCATCTTCTGGTAAGTACGTTAATTTTTATCTATACTTGGCATGCTACCTATAGTAATGTTTAACTTAAAGACAAGGGCGGAGCCACCTTATGCCCGGGGGGAACATGCCCGCCCTCAAAATATTTTTCTTAAAGTTGTCTATATATATTTTAAGTATTTTTTCGATATTTTAAATTGTGTCCAATGTCCACCCTATTTTTTAGTCAAGACTAGAAAAAAGCATGATATATCTATCAATTTACTTTTAATTTTGACATTTATTTTTGTAAATATCACAAATATGATAGATAATACATTTGATTGCGTAATCGAATGAATGATATATAGCTAAGTGATAGTATGATTATAGACATAAAGACTAATAAAGTTAATTCAAGACTTTTAAAGTATGAAAATTCATCGTGATCAATTCTAAATAGTTTTGATTAGTCTTTGTTCCGTAAAAAGATATAATTAGTCTTTTTTTGTTGTCTATTTTATATCTACCATGCTTACCAATTTTACTTTTTTAACTTTAATGAATATTTAAGTATTAAATAGGATGTAATTAAATATAAATACATTATCCTATTTTTATCAATTGCAAGAAAAAAAATTAAGTTTGTTAAAATATTCGGTGTCCACCCCCAAAACGATTTTCTGGCTCTACCCCTGCTTAAAGACCTTCTGAAAAAATATTGTTTTAACCGATGTTAAAATATATTGGTAGTTCGTGAAGTATACGTTTAGTTTTACTTCAATTACTGAACTTTAAATCGTGTTATTTGGGTATTTAAAGATCCCGACTTATTTTTAGATGATTAATCTTTGAGAAGTGAACAAGTGGAGGTCATCATCTTAACGCTCGCAGTTTTCCTATCCCACTTGGGCCCACATGTACATAGGGACTAATGCAAGGATAAATTTGTAAAGGTTGCCCTAAGAATAGATTTGAACTCAGGACCTCCGATTTGTAGGAAGGTGCCTTGGCCACATGCCAACTTGTATATCTCTTTGGGTTCTTTAGTTTTATAGTTAACTATCTATTTGGCCCATGAATTATATTACTTGTGTAAATTAAGTTCTTGAACCACGTTTTGTGTCAATTAGTCCCTGAACTAAAAGATTTGTGGTACTGTGGTCCTTCCTTTCTAATTCGTCATTAAGTTTAACGAAATTCACATGCACAATTCGTGATTCTTAAACTATACTCTAATTCGTGACTTACATGATGTGCGTGTGAGGAATTCCGTCCAAATTAACCACGAATTTGGACGAGTCATATATGCAAGGCACGAGAAATCTCACTATTAGAAGACACTTTTCAAGGAAAAAAAAAAGTCACTCGGTTCCAGTGTTTTGGAAAAATGTTTAATTTTGTACTTGGGTTTTGTTTCATTAATAAATCAAAATTTAATGAAACCTTATGATTTTGTTGATTGTAATAAAATGTTTTCTAACGCCTTGTTTATTCATTATGGGGGTTTTTGGATCTAACAGGTGCAGGGGACTCAAAACATTGAGGTTGAGATGTTAAGGGAGAAGCTCTTATCATTGTACGAGAAGGAGATATGATATGACCGTTGCCTTTAGTTTTTTGGGTCCAAATAATAGTCTAACAGCAAAGGTCAAATTATATTTTGGCCCCTCAACTACGAACCCGATCTCACTTTGCCCCATCAACAATAGAGTTTCTAACATTGCCCTGCCTCGAAACCAAACCTGCGACGAAAAATGTCTAAATAACATATGCATCTCCAAATGTTCACGTTTGGGACAATGTAAAACCAATAAACCATAATTAATTAGAAGTTAATGTAACTGATTTGAGAGTTAGAGAAGACAATGTAAAGCCAATAACTATAATTAGAGGTGTAATACAAAAAATATGATAATCAAGGGGCAATACGAGATAGGGGGCATAATTGAGAGGGTCAAAATATACTTTATTGATTTGTAATTAAATAAGAAAATTGTACATAAGCTTAATGATGGAAATAAGGAGGGTCTTTTTGTTTGGGCCAATTTGTCTTTGGTAGGGCCTCACCCAAATTTTGGGTAAGTATCTGGAATAATATTTTATATACAAATACAAAATTTTCTTATGCATCGTAATCTTATTTGATTTTTAGTTTTTTTTTTGTAATCTTCCTACCTTATCCTTCATCGAATCTCATCTAGATGGCATGGAGATGATTATTAGGTCAAGTGTATCACAAAGCTCTTCCCTTCTATGCTAGAGGTCTACAGCATCTCCAGCAGAGATTTCATTACCATGCATTTAGAAAAAGTAATTTTAATTGGTAGTTCAAATGGTAATAGAAACGAATTATAAATTTAGATATTTTGAATTTGAATCTTAGCAATTTTTTAGAGTCAGATCATAAGAATTTATCCTTCATTAATACTCTAGTCCTGACATGGATGGTCTGCCATTAGCTGAACCGAAAAAAAAAAATTGTCAAAGTGTACGTAAGCTGGCCTAAAAATACAAGATTGTTAAACTAAAAAAAGTGGAACGAGATGAGTTGCAAACCTAACCCTAAACTCTGTGCAAGCTCAAATCATACACGAGGATAAGAAATTATGGACCGGTGAGTGGTGAAGCTAGCGGTGGCCCAAAGGAGAGGAAAACAAGGTTGAACATATGGTTCTAAATGTCAAGTTTAACTCCATCTTGGTAGAGAGTGCGATTGAATGAATCGAAATAACATAGAAACCTTAAACATGGAGATTATTTTTAATAGAGTTTTTCGTATTTTGCACTCTGTAATGATGAACTCAGATTCAGTTGGGTCTAGGCCCACTTCTTGGGTAAGCCCAAATCAACTACAAAACAAATCAAGTTCAACTCATGGATCCAGTTTAGTCCAAAAGTTCAAGAAGTCCAAGAAGATCAGTGTATGTGAAGTTCAAGAAGTCCNCATGCCAACTTGTATATCTCTTTGGGTTCTTTAGTTTTATAGTTAACTATCTATTTGGCCCATGAATTATATTACTTGTGTAAATTAAGTTCTTGAACCATGTTTTGTGTCAATTAGTCCCTGAACTAAAAGATTTGTGGTACTGTGGTCATTCCTTCCTAATTCGTCATTAAGTTTAACGGAATTCACATGCACAATTCGTGATTCTTAAACTATACTCTAATCCGTGACTTATATGATGCGCGTGAGGAAGTCCGTCCAAATTAACCATGGATTTGGACGAGTCATATATGCAAGGCACGAGAAATCTCACTATTAGAAGACACTTTTCAAGGAAAAAAAAAGTCACTCGGTTCCAGTGTTTTGGAAAAATGTTTAATTTTGTACTTGGGTTTTGTTTCATTAATAAATCAAAATTTAATGAAACCTTATGATTTTGTTGATTGTAATAAAATGTTTTCTAACGCCTTGTTTATTCATTATGGGGGTTTTTGGATCTAACAGGNATGAATATAAAAATGACACATGTAACTATTACATATTTACTCTATCGTTAATAACACGTGCATTTTTTACAACAAATGTTACTACCACTTAGGCCATTTCTCTAATATTAGAAATAGAGGATTTTACTGGATTTATATACAAAATTTCACTCTCTATTTTAATAATTTTATCAAATATGTTTTTTATTTTTAAAAAGATATTGTTTAAAAATAGAGATTACCATCTACAATAAGCTTTCAATCCAGATCAAATAGAAAGCAGAAGCGGGAGCGGAAGCAAAATTNATAATTTTATCAAATATGTTTTTTATTTTTAAAAAGATATTGTTTAAAAATAGAGATTACCATCTCCAATAAGCTTTCAATCCAGATCAAATAGAAAGCAGTAGCGGGAGCGGGAGCGAAAATTTTTTTTAAAAAAAGTTGAGAGTTGGAGTATCACTAAGAGCATTAAAAATGAGAAATATTAGAGGCAAAATATAAGGAAAATATTAAAAAAAATTATTACAAATTGTTGTCACACATCGACAACTTAACGGTGTGTTAAATGACAACAGATATAAGTAGGCGAATCCCAAATCGGTAGCTTAGGAGAATTCGATGGGAAGACTACTATAAGTAAGACATGGTCTTTGTTGATTAGTTATTGGGCCTCAGCTTAGGGCCTAACATATTGAAATATGTGAAAATTGAAAGTGCGTTTCCCAATACGTAGAGATAAATTATGTAAGAACACTTATAAGGAGTCAAGTATATATTTAAAATTATATGTAATGACTTAAGTCCATTTTTTTTTAATCTCAAAAATACCCTTTCTTGAAAGGAAGTTAAATTAATTTCTTATTTTGGAAATTAGTATCCCTTAATTTAATATTTAAAATTATATGTAATGACTTAAGTNCAGCTTAGGGCAAATATGTGAAAATTGAAAGTGCGTTTCCTAATATGTATTTGTTTGGAGATAAATTATGTAAGAACACTTATAAAGAGTCAAGTCCATATTTAAAATTATATGTAATGACTTAAATCTATTTTTTTTTAATCTCAAAAATACCCTTTCTTGAAAGGAAGTTAAATTAATTTCCTATTTTGGAAATTAGTATCCCTTAATTTAATGTCAATTAAAATATATAAGTAAAATCTCCATCATAAATTTAAAATTCAAATTCAAAGCTCTCTCTCTCTCTCTCTCTCTCTCTCTCTATATATATATATATATATTATGTTACTGCTTTTATTGAGTATGTTATTGTTCATGCTACTATTATTTTGAGCATGTTACTATTTTTGTTAAGCATGTTACTGCTATTATTTTACNATGGAATTGATGACCTCACTCCTGACCTAGCTTCTCCTTGATTCTTCGCCTTATGTGTGATAGCTTCACTCACTACTTTTTTCACCTAAAGAAAGAAAAGTTGTCTATTACTTATAATATTAAGATATCAATCAGTACATCAGCTCTTTCCCCAAGAAAAGTAGCTGACAATACCCATGTGCTCTGCTTTTCCATCGAAAGTAAATTCTTTTCTCCTGAGCCAGGGACCCACTTAGCACTCTGCCCTAATTTTCAGACATCAGGACCCATTAAGAGTTTTTTGTCAAAAGTTACCTAAGTAAAAGTATTTTACCCATATTTTTCCACCGAAAGTTAAGGTGAAAGTCTTTTGCAAAGGCACATAAACCATTACACACCTAGCAAAACACTCTCACCTCCACCAAAACCCTGTATTTTAGAGATCTCTCATAATAATGCAAATGAAGAGTTTTGTCCTATCCTCTTTCACTACTAGCCCACTTAGTGCTAGTATTTTAAGTATCTTAGTTTTATTTCATATTGTAATTTATGTACTTTTGTTTGTAAAATTATTCTACACCTTGTGATTCTCCTTGAACTTACATGAATTCCGCACTTTCAACTATAGTAACATTAAAAAAAAAAAATATAGTAACATTCAAATATAAAAAAAAAGGTGAAAATTGGAAGTAAGTTTTTCAAGATGTACTTGTTTGGAGATAAGTCCTCCAAGAAAACTTATATAAAAGCTAAGTCTATATTTAAAATTATATGTAATGACTTAAATTTAATTTTTTTTTTATATCAAAAATACCCTTTCTTGAAAAGAGGTTAAATTAGTTTTCTATTTTGAATATAGTTATCCCTTAATTAAATGTCAATTAAAATATACCAATAAAATCTTTATCATAAATTTAAAATTCAAATTCAAATCTCTCTCTCTCTCTAATGGTGTTGTTTCATCAATGTACATCTTTTAATTTTCTATGAATTATGTCAATTTTGTGGGTAACGGATGAGAATCTTTGGTCCTTATTAATTTTTTGTTTTTTGTAATTTGTGGTCTTTTTTGTGGGGGTTAATTTGTTAAATTGAATGTTTCATGTTACAATTTTATTTATTATGTTACTATTTATGTTACTGTTTTTGTTGAGTACGTTACTGTTTATGTTTTTATTATTTAGACGTNTACTATTTATGTTACTGTTTTTGTTGAGTACGTTACTGTTTATGTTTTTATTATTTTGGACATGTTACTGTTTTTGTTGAACATGTTACTACTATTATTTTCGTAAATATTAATATTTTATGTTACTATTTTTTTATGTTTTTAAATATTACTATTTTTTGCGTTTAAATTTGAGAGAAATAATTATTGTTAAATATGTTGTAATTTTTGTTAAGCATGTTACTATTTTTGTTGTACATGTTACTATTGTTATTTTTTTAAAATATTAATATTGAATGTTTCAATTTTTTTNGCGTTTGAATTTGAGAGAAATAATTATTGTTAAGCATGTTACAGTTTTTGTTAAGTATGTTACTATTTTTGTTGAATATGTTAATATTTTTGTTGAATATGTTACTGTTGTTATTTTTTAAAAATATTAATATTGAATGTTTTAATTTTTTTTTATATTTAAATGTTACTATTTTTTTGTGTTTAAATGTATTATTTTTTTTGTCCAAATAATAATTTTTTTTTTGTATTTGAATGTTTCTATTTTTAATTTTTAATGTTACTATATATATATAAGAGGAAAAATTTTAATGTTAGTCAAATTCTTAAAATTTAGGAATTTTTGATATTTAGTTTTATTTCAGGAAGGGATAGTATGGTAAAATTGAAAAAAAAATGGACTTCATGAAAAATAAGTTTCCTTGACGAACTTAATTCCAAACAAGTCCATATAAGGGGACCGACCTCTAAAATTTTCTTGAAATATTTTAAATTTTTGATTGGGCCTATGTCCAAATCATTGATGAGTTTAAATTTTTTTTAAATTATGAAATTGACCCCGAAGATTTCCAGCATGCCGATTGCATTTGTGTCGAGTCCGCTGTGAATTTGCGTTTTGAGTGTCAATTCGTTGGGATATAATGATGAATCATGTAATCTAACTATCAAGTCCCACTCAATGTTCTATTTTAGGAAGTCAACCACCAAAAATCAAACTTCAAGATACACTATTTAGAATAGTTAAAATAGACAGAGTCTAACCCACTCTTTATTCTATTTATAATAAATGATAAGATGACATATGTACATTCTTGCTCTATTCTTTTTATTCTCATTTGGCTCTCTATTTTGGAGAGTCAACCACCAAAAATAAAGTTCCATTAAATCCTTTATGAGCACTGCTACTGGAATATAATGGCTATTATCATTTAATGCATTTCACTAACAATTCACGAGTCACATTAGTGAGCTCCCTATTTAGACTAGTTAAAATAGTGAGTCTTATTCGGTTCTCTATATTTGGAGAGCCCAATTTACTCTCTATTTTATTTTTTATTAAATAAAAAAATGACATATATATTTTTTATTAAATGTTATTGACTATAAGACTATTTTTTTTTTACTGAAATAGAGAATTTATTGAAGTTACCTAAAATATTTCACCCCTATTTCAAAATTTTATCAAAGATAATATCTATTTCAAAAAAAAAAAATGCTCTCTAATTTCTACGCTATCTATTCTCACTCATTCCAGTATTTTAGATAACTATACTAGAATAGAAAATTCCTATTGGAGTCGTTAAAAAATTTTCACTCTATTTTAATTTTTCATAAAAAATGATATCTATTTTAAAAAAAGAGGCTCTTTAAAATAAAATAAAATAAAATAAACACAATTATAGATGTAAATAATATTATCCTAATCTAATTAGGAAACTAAAACTAGTTTAAATCTGGACACAAAAAATAATAAAATCCTAGATAAGCTAGNAAAAAACACAATTATAGATGTAAATAATATTATCCTAATCTAATTAGGAAACTAAAACTAAAACTAGTTTAAATCTGGACACAAAAAATAATAAAATCCTAGATAAGCTAGAAAATAAGATAAAGTAGTTTCCTACTTAGGAAATATAATAAAATCCTCCACCATAACTTACAAATTTACTTGCTAACCACAACGCTTCTAAATAAGAATTACACTTGCAACTCCTAAAGTTTTACATTAATTCACATTGTAATAGCCACACTGAGTTCTACTAGCATCAATCACATTAAGTTCTATCGTACCAACCACACTGAATTCTCACTACATCAAAGCTCATACATGTCAGAACCATTTAGCGACACATACATTAGAGAGAACTAATTACAGAAGCCCAAACAGTATGGGATAGTTGGGGCAAACAGTAAAACTCTGGCCACTCAGCAAGTGTTCTTTCGCCTTGAACAGGGCCTGTGCCCCTGCAATCTTTTCTTCAAGCATTCCTAGCTTGGTCTGCAGCACCACGATCTCTTGCTTCAGCTTCGCAGCCTCGGGCTCCCACTCCTCCAGCTCAACCTTAGCAAGAAAACTTGCTCTGTGGTCATCCAACAAAGAAAAACGTTCCATGAGCCAAGGGAGCTCGATACATGCTTCCTTCAAGTCATCTATATACGAAAGGCATTTTTCCTGTAGCGTGCTGCTCCAGGCTTTTAGAGGGATTGTGTCGGCAGTGTAAAGGAGAAGAGCTACAGTGCCCAAATGCCCAGCTTGCACCAATGGGCTGCGCGAATTAAATTTAGCAAGGCTGTCTGGGTACCGCTCCACTAGCTTGTTCAAGTATGCAACACTTCTCCGTTGCACCCTGAAGCCAAGCCAATCCACCAAGTCTGATCCATGCCCAGGGCCAGCATCATAGGGTACCTCTTCCGGGATTTGAACCTCAGGAATCCCTTGGACTGAACTACGAACAGGCTGTACCACTTCATTTCCTACAACTTGCTTGTCTTGTGGTTGTTGCGGTTGTCTCACCTCAACCCCTGTGACAGACTGCTCAGGGGCAGCGATTGTTTCCTTATGTTGTGCTTCAGCTTTACTTGCCCTTGAGGAGTGGGCTCCATCTCCTCCAGCAGAAATCTGAGCCTCAGCCAACTCGACCTTAGTTATGCCTTTCTCTTCTCCACCAGAGACAACTAGGGGCACTTCTTTGCTCTCGACTACTGATGTATTAGCATTGGTTGGCGCTAACACTGCCTCACCCCCGGTTGAAATATGGGTCACCTGACCCCCAGTCAACTGAATTACAGACTTCATGTAACGAGTTGCATTTTGGTTCTCAAGTCCAACATTATCATTGCCCTTGGAGACAAGTAGCAAATTATCAGAGATCTCACGGACAGTAATGTCAGCTTCAACAATAAGTTGATCATTCACAATATATCCTAAAAGGCAATCATCAAGTTCACGAAGAGCCATGAAGGATGTAAAGCCCCAATCATTCTCACTTGCATTGAATTGGTGGTCTGTCTCTGCAAAATTCAGATGAGTGATAAAATGAAAACCAAAGTCTAACACATCGATTTAAAATAATGATAGGTCATAACCTCTCAACAAGAATTGAGGCACGCAAAAAAAAAAAAGTACAATTGCTTGTCAATATTATCAAGTGAAATTTTCATAACCATAATCAGACCCAAACATCACTTTGCTTGGAGCAATACCAAAAGACTGTTACAGGGCATCAGAGAATGGCTTCAGCCATTAAGCATTNATAATCAGACCCAAACATCACTTTGCTTGGAGCAATACCAAAAGACTGTTACAGGGCATCAGAGAATGGCTTCAGCCATTAAGCATTAACTTTGTGCAACTGATGACGACGGTTCTAAAATGAGACAAGGCAATAGATAATGGACCAGTAGTTTCAAGCTACACGCTAATTCCCCTTTCATATCCGAGATACATCTAGCCCCTCGGAAGGTTCGTTGAAAAACTGACTATAGTTCAACTTAACAAAGTTTTATCCCAACTACTCGAGGTCGACTAAATGAATCCAGTTTTTTGCTGTACTCTATCAAGAGCTGTATTTTCCCCTAAACACTGAGCTATCATATCTTTTTTTTTTTTTTACTATTTCATTCAAAGTTAAGTTTGGCTAACCTATATGTCTCACATTACTCTTCCTCACTAGCACATTATTAGGTTTTTTATCGTGTCCAAGCACCTAACGTGATCCTCTTTATTTATCCCTTATTGGTGTCGCTGATACCGTTTCATGAATATGCTCACTTCCAATGCTATCATTTCTTGTTTTACCACACATTCATCTTAACATCCTCATATCTGCAACATTTCATTTTTCAAGTGTGTTGATTCTTAATTAAACAACATTTCGTATAGTAAAGCATTGTTGATTTAGGAGTTGTTTTATAAAAATCACCTTTCAACCTAAGGTGTATACGTAAATCACATAGCATGCCAAATGCAATCATTCACTTACTCCATCCCATTTTAATTTCCTAATTAACATCATTTCCACTCTCTCCTTCCTTACGGATAATTACATCCAATTACAAAAAAGGGAAGTGGAAACTATATATAACTAGAAACTAGACGTGATCGAAAAACAAACTTAAAAATGTTCTATTAAAACTACATTTGACATATTCAGTGTCATTTCTAAGTATCTTGAACCCTTTTGATNGCTTTGATATATATTGATCTTTGATCTGCACTAGCTTTTTGTTTGAATTTTTACAATTATTAAAACTACATTTGACATATTCAGTGTCATTTCTAAGTATCTTGAACCCTTTTGATTCTAAAGTTTTTCATAAACTTATATTTTGTTGTTAATTTATACTTCAATTTCATCAATCAAATCCTCCACAAAAAATATACACGCATTATAAATACTTCTAGTCAATCCATCCATAACCAAGGCAAAAAGATATGAACTTAAGGCAAAACCTTAATGTGTAAATGAGAATTTACTACTTTTCCATGCAATTGTTCTAACTAAAATTACTACAACCTGATACATGTTCTCAATTATATCAATATATCTATTTTTAACTCTTGTATTTACTAAAACCCACAATATTATGTCCCTACATACGCCTTCTCAAATTTTCTTAAACCCACACTTAACTTAATACCTCTATAATTTGCACAACTCCAAATATCTCCTTTTTTTTTTTTTTTTAAACAAATACTCTTCCCCTACCCATCCATCACCTTCTTAGATATTATAGTCTTATTAAATAATTTAGTTAGCAAAGATAATCCTACATTTTATAAACACTTCCAACCCTTAATCGTACAACAACTGGTTTTAGTTTGGACGACGTTATTCCACCACCAAAGTTTAATTAGCTGATGGCCCATCACCTTTTGATTCTCCAAGAACCTCCATTAATATTCTTTTGATACATCCTACTATCCCACATTACATTAATTTCGTTTTCTAAATTTCATGTTTCTTCTTTTAGCAATTTATCATTGAATAAAACCAATTTTTCTCTTTTTAAATTCCATGACCTAGTTCTTGGATTTTTATAATCTTGTCTTGGTTTTGAATGAGTTTTAATACATATATCAAATAACATTATCCTATGTAGTGTTGTCAAGCTCTCTAGAAGGCTTTTCTAGTTAGAAAAAAAATCCATTTGACTCCTATTGAATCCACTCTTAAGTATTATAAAATGTTCACCTCTCATTTCATAATAAGTGTTTGCTATGATGAGCTCAAATACCATTGTAAAATCCACAATAGAATTCAAAACATCATTTCTATCTTTAAACTCATATTCTCTTTGATCTAGTCCTACTGACGTATATTCTCTATCCTCCATGTATTTCTTGTATTAATTGACCCATATGTTCTTGAAGTTGAGTTTTAATATGTTTATGTAGTCCTACTCGAGGTGCATAAGCACTAACAATATCAATTATAATTTCTTCTACTACAAGCTTAATTAGTAATATTCTATCTCCTTTCCTAAGAATGGTTGTTTTCATGTACAGACTTGAATTTGTAAAAGAATTTGACTACTGTTAAACCATTCAACATAATCAGATTAGCAATTCGATCTCCATCTAAGACAAACAAATTTATTGGTGTGAGATTTGAAGATAGGCAAACATTTTGCCAGGCTGTCAGCCACCCAACTCATTACGCAATTGCCTGCATTTTATAATTGTCATGTATGGACTACTTGAATTTGCATTAGGTATCAACCAATATTACTAGTACTATATCCTATTAAACCATTCAGCATAATCAGATTAACACAGACAAAATAACTGGTGTGCGATTTGAAGATAGCCACACATGATGACTGAGCAAATACTAAGAGCAAATTTGTAAATGTCGAGTAAATTTATAAATGTCATTTTAGGTGTATGCATGTGTTAGTTCAGCATAATTTAAGAAACATTCATGTAACTCCCTTTTCTGTGTTCCTCACCAACTAAATTCTATCGCATCTCACCCTTTCACTACCCTGGAATCAATGGTTGAAACTAAATATACTGACAATTGGGGGAAAGGGGAAAACAAATGTCAGTTGAGAAAAAGATAAAAAGTTCTTTCACCATTTTTCATAAAGAGAGACATGCAAAGTGTAAGGTAGGACAATGGAGTCTATGTAAAGGGCAAGTTCATCATGTTCAAAGCAGCAGAGAGAATTTAGAGACTTTCTAGGTTATTTCATGTATTAGGAAACATATTTTGCCCATGTGCTTAGCGAATAGCCAATGAGATAGAAATTACAAGCCTATGTCTTAAATTGCATAAAGATATCTTTCAAAGACTAATATCAAGCGCCTTCAATTATTTACTTCCCTCAAGTAAGAAATACAAAATGAAGGAGAAATGCTTGGCATTCAGTCATTTATTAACCTTCCATTTTGTTAGTTGATAACTGCATTGAATTCTAATAGTTTTATGTATTGACTACATGCATTTTATGCATGTATTTTTTTTTTTTTGGGAGCAATACTTGAACCCTTGACCTCATAAAGGCAAAACCTTCATAAGGTAAGAAGTACCAGTGTTTTGAAAAGCTCGCCTAGGCGCTCGCCTAGGTGAGAAGCGAGGCGAGGCGAGCTTATCTCGCCTGGAGGACCCCAGGCGAAACGAACGTGAGCGAAGCGAGAAAAAGCGAAGAAGCGAAAAAAGCGAAAAAGCGAACGCTTTATTATAAAAGGCGATTCTGCTTCTCTTTTTTTTTTTTTTTTTTTTTTCTGATTACAGGTTAGTAGTCTCTTTTATTTTTTAATCACTAATGACTTTTTTTTTAGACTATTGCTGGTCTATTTTTTTCTAATAAATAATGTTTCGAACAAAACACATTCCTTTTTTTTTTCTTGTGTTGCAGAATTCATTTAGAATATTTGTGAGATGTGCGAGTCAGGCAACTGCATGACAATTATGATAAAAAAAAGGAAGCAGGAGTATCAGGAATGGGGGTAAATAATAGATTCTTCTACAAAGAAGTGTCTCTGATATGTCTTGGTTATACTTTTTCCTTTTCTTATATATATACAAATGGTACCAAAAAGTGGTCTATGCTTATACCATGTTTAATTATTTTAGTACATGTGAAATGTGCCTCTGTTCTGCTTTTTTTTATTCAGTATATAATTACATATGAAATTGTTTACAATTGATTCTACTCCTGTCATGATCATTGTGCTTCTATTTTTTTTTTAGCTCATTCTTCTTCTATTTTTTTTGTTGATTCTGTTGCTACTTCGGTTTTGCTGTCCTGTGTTGCTTTTGTTTTTTTTTTATCCTCATTCTGCTTCTTTTTTTTTGTTGCTAATTTTGTTGCTGTCCTAATTCTGCTTCTTTTGTTGTCCTACCCTGTCAATATGAAAATGTATACAATTGTTAATATTTGTTTGAATTTAAATGTTTAAGTTATGACTGTTATTAAGATTTGAGATATTATTAGTGTTTGTTTTAATTTAAATGTTTATGGTTTTACTTGCATTTAAATATTTAGTATATATAAAATTAGAACTTAGATTGTTTAGAAGTAATTAAACTAAAATATATATTTTTTTTAACTGTTCGCTTTACTTCGGTAAAGCGTGTCACTTCGCTTCTCGCTTCTCGCCTAGGCGTTAGGAGCCTTGGTCGTTTCGGTTCGCTTTACGCCTTAAATAACACTGAGAAGTATTATTGGACCAAAGGTCAGCTGGTACATTTTATGCATGTAGTTGATGCATTTCTTGCTTTTTATGAATGTAGCAGATGTGTCTGTTGTCCCATCTTGCAAGAGATGCATCTACTAAATCTACTAAAAGCACAAAATGCAAGTAGCCAATAGCAATTATACCTAACAAAATCCAAAGTGTAATGTTTTCCCCTTTTCTCTATATATTGTATTTCGTGAAGAAGATATGAGTCCAATACTTGAAAACCTCCCAACTTGTGCCCTGTATAATGTTATGCCTCTTGAACATTTACGGTCCCATGCACATCTTTTTCCTTTTGAAAATAGATTTTAAAAAATCCTAGTTGAGAAGGATTATACTTTCCTACGGAAAACGGGAATGGGATGTGGTACACCACATAACCTAAAACACAATATAATAGAGGAAGACTTACGGATCACGAATTTGAACGTCGTCATGATAGTTATGTACACAACTAATTCCCTTCTAAAATAAAGATTGATAAAAATATTACTCTGTTTAAATTCACAAATCTACTTGTCACCTTACTTTCTAAGTAGCTCCACTTAATAAATTTCGAACTCAATACATTTGGAGCATTTCTTTAGGCAAAAATAGGGAAAAGCTTTCTAGTCTGGAAATTCAGTGTCTTGGAATGGAAATGTTTTGTGTATAGGTAAGCTATTTCAAAATGTAAAGCTATGTCTTTTTTTAATAGAAATATGCATTGGCAATCATTACAAACATTATTACCACAATGCATCCACTAAACTGATTTCTATTTAGAATCCAACAAACGTACAAACTACAAAGTACCAAAAAAAAGGGTAGACCAAAGGAAAAGCTTAGCTATAGGGAATAATTACAATGATAAAGAAGCCAATTTATACTTTTGTCCCCAAGAAGTATCTCTATAATCAGAAAAGTTTTTGTCCATGCAACATAAGAACTAAAATGACCCTCAATGATATGTATTAATATAATAATCGACATATGCACAAATTTAAGTTTCAAGATCCAACTACATAAACAGGAGCTAGGCAGAAAATACCTTTTCTTTTTGTACAACTGCTATGAATTTGATCAACGACAGCGAAGCCAAACTCTGCACGCACACTCCATCCAAATGGCAAGATTACCGAATCCGCCACATCCAAATATATTGACAAATGGTCCACACCGTTTCCTTTCGGAAAAATAAGCACCCGCCTGCACACCTCAATGCCAGATAAAAATCAAACAGACTACTTACCCAACAAAGCATGCCTGCTGAATTTGCAACTTAAACCAGTTGGATATCATTCAATTACCATTTACGACCACTGACAATAAATATGTCGGAATAAAATTTCTTGACATTTGACCTAGAAAAATTCTCAATCGTCCAGATTATCTTAGTCGCCTGGGGCGCCATTAACTGCAGGGTTCTCGGGGGTATCAGCAGCTTCTTCTTGCGCTACTGCTAACACATCAAAAACAAAAAAGGAAGACAAAAAGGAAAGGGTCACAACACTAACAAATCCAAAACCCATTCATACCATCATATCAGTCAGAAAAAAATATCCTATAAGAAATTCAAACTCACTTTTCACAAAGAAAAAAAAAAGGAAAAAAACATTAACATCTTGCTTCTGAACAAAGAACTACCAATTCCAAGGGCCTGAGGAGCTTCGATGAATTCTCAATGCAGCACCAGCACCTTCCCGTCTTCTTACTGTTACACACACGCACACACATAGATATAGTCAGAAGCATTTGATACAGTAACCTTATCTCTATACCCTAAATTACCCAACCGCAGAAATTCAACTCCATAATTCAATAGAACTCAAACCCTCCCCATTTGCCCAAAACAAATAAATAAGCCTCCTAACAACCAACAAACTCAAAAACCTAGTCGATCACAAAACTTTAATAAAAACCGAAAGCTTTAACAAACGCACATGTCTATGACGATATTGGGGTTTCGTGTGTGCGTATGTGGCCCGGAGGAGGGGGAGGGGGGAGGGGGGGAAGAGAGCGAAGTTGAGAGTTTCAGTGCAGAGTGAGAGAGGGGTACTTACATCCAACGGTTGAGGAGTCATTATGGCCATGGTTGGAGAGAGAACGTTCGTTCGATTGACCCAATCCGAAGGAAAAGTTAACGAGCTCAGCCAAGGAGAGAGAAGCCACTGATGAAAGTGCAATTTGAAAGGCATCGCATTTAGAGAAAAGGCATCGCATTTAGAAAGGCCAATAAAGCTTTGGAACAACAGTAGGATAAATTACATTTTGACCCTTTCATCTACCGCATTGTTTCACATTGCCCCCCTCAATTATTCTGTTTATTGTATTACACCCCAACTATGGCTATTACTTTCAAATTGCTCCTCAACTATCACTTTTCTCACATTACACCTTCATCATTGGTTATTATTTACACATTACCCCAATTATAGACATTATAAATGTATTTTGTGCTACATATTTAGACTTTGTGCAACCAATTTAAGTAGTTTGAAGTGAAAAATTCCTAGAAGGAGATTATATTCAATTTTTGAAATTTATTAAGGCTTTGGATACTAAGGAACATACGGGACCTATAGATGCAAATCTGGACGGTATGAGTTACTATGAGATAACTATGGTTTACAAAAATGGTATTAGAGTACCGTTGAACTTAGCTAAATATGTGAGATTTTTTGAAAATTTTATTGTAAGGCAGAAGAGTGCTCCAGATTTTGTAATACCTCTTCTTTTTTTATAATATTTCGTATCAATAAAACACATTGTTTCTATTCAAAAAAGAAATTAATAGTTTAAGGGATAAAAATAAGATTAGAGCTATGGAGAGAAGGTAAAAATAAAATTTTTCCTACAAAGTAGATAAATTCACTTTGTGAAAGAGAACTTATGTTTCTCAATCTTTGCAATTGTCGAGCAAGATGACTTATCGCTACACCAAGAAACTAAAAAAAGAAGAAAAAGTTGTTTTCGTTGTTTGTTGGAAAATCACTTATTAAAATCTCATATTTGCATCAAAAAAATTAGAATAAAAAAGTAACAATTAAGAAAGAAACAGTTACAAGTAAAATGAAATGGTTACAAATATACACGAAACAGTTACATATAAATTTATAATTATACTAATAGATAAATTGACCCGTTTTGTAGATCAAAAACTGTTTTTTAATTTTTTGTAGATCAAGATTAGTGTTTGACACTATGTCCTTAAGACAGATTTTGTCTCCACACTAGGTGCTTATGAAAATCAAGTGTTTGTCTTTCAAAATATAATGATATTTTTGCACTTGAAAGTAACATTCAAATTCAATTGGCTAGTGAACTAGAAAATTGTATTGTGTACTTTTAGAATGCAAACTACTTAACGCCGAAATTATACTTTAATGACTGTAATAAAGTTTGGGCAGAATGCTAATGAATCTGATTTTATATAGAAAGACTGGTAATTATTCTGAATAGTCACTATGTGAACAGACACAACCAAAAGACACACAACTCAAAAATATGTACTTGAGGGAAGCGAAAATTGGAACCAATATGAATTTTAAATCCAACGGATACCAGAAATTAAATTTTAAATTAAGAAATTCACGCTCAATCTCTGATTCAGTTGTTATTCAGATCCATTAAATGGTCATTTGTCTTCGCTCACACTCCAATAACTGACCCATTATCCCCTTGGCCTAGTGTATTTTCTCATACTCTGAATATGAGCCACCTATTCCAACAGTTACCAAATAGAATTTCTTTTGTGAGCAATGTGTGAGATGAAATAGTGAAAGAAATCCAAAAAGTGAAAAGATATGAAATAGGCTTTTATGAAAGTAGTGGATAAAGAATGGGGTGACCTTAATTAATAATGCGAGGAGTATAAAACGAGTACGTTTAGAAATTTTACAAAAACGAATGGTTTTCAATCACAAAAGTAACTTATATTTTGTGGTCTTCGAATAGTCAAGAGACAGTGAGTGGCTCTACATATTTTTTTTTTCCTATTCTCTATCGGGCCCTAGTTGGTGGATGAAGTTGACTGTAACGTTGTAAAAGCATTACCTTAATTTCGAAAGCATTCACAATTAAACAACCTTTGATAAAGTTTACCTAAAAAATAATCATCTTAGATGTGTTTTTCAATAACAAATTTGGGATGACAATGACTGGATTTGGTTAGAACCATCCCCTTGCTTATCTCAACCTCAACATTCTCTTCTTGAGAGAGAGAGAGAGAGAGAGAGAGTGATTATATCTGATTTAAGAATATAATTTGGCACTTAATGCATTATGGTTGTTAGATTGGCATCATAATTCAGTTATTTTAGGATACTTCTTTTATTATATCGTCACAATGCATTAAATCTCTAAATTAGATCTTAGAACATTGCTCGTACTATTAATAGCAAATACTCTATGAAATAAAAGGCTTGACGCACCAGAAGAATTGGGTAGTTGCTACCCACCCCTGGCCAGTAAAAACGATGGAAAAAGAAGAGATTGAGGAAATGACAGCAGGTGAGAGTCGTAATGCATTGCGTATTTGGTTGGGGCCTCTATTAAAGATGGTTTAAAGGCACCTAGTAGCAGGACACATCTGAATCTGGACGAATGGGTGAGTTTGGAGTTGGAAGGGTGCATTCATTTGCTTTTTAAATGCAAAATTTGTTTCTTCTTTTTAAGTGTGTTTGAGTTAACTTATGCGCATCTCAACTAATTTTTTTTTTCTGTCTGATCAAAGACATACCATCTATACCGAGATTATCATATTCATTTAAGTCATTTTATCTGAATTTATAATTCATCTCTGTTATTACCACTTAAACTATCATTGAGGTTGAACATTTGATTTTGTCAACACTTCCGCAACAACATCGATTGTATCCAGTTCAAATAGATTATCATTCGTCCGTAAGATATGACTAATATCATTTATTATATTGTTCCTATAAATATATACAAAAAAACTATACTTACAAACTTATTTGAAAATTTAAAAGTTGTACAACTAAACTTAAATTCTTGAATCTGTCGTCGGGGGCGTCGAAGAATGTGGAGGTTATCCTATCAGAGATAGAATCCTAGTGGTTGTTTTTCTAACAAATATTTTACACCGGTCTTTCTCCTTAGTTTTTTCATTTTTCTGAAAGTTTATATTATTGAAAAATATTTTTCTATACTGCACCCCAAAATGTTAGCTTTTGCTAAATTCGTCTTTGACCGCACTTACATTGATTTTAGTAAGTTTTACATGTATTTCGATTAATTTTTTTTTAATTTTATTAAAGGCAGGCTATTGTCGAGACTAAGGTATTCCTATGAGATAAATCTTTCATAATCTAATCTCAAAAGATTACCAAATTTCAAATTCAGAATTTTTGAATTTATAAATCATCTTCGTTACTATTTAAACTATCGATTACTGACCTACTCTGATTCAACTTAAATTACAGTGATCAACCGCGGAGTTTAAAAAAATAGTCGGCACATCACGCTATTATAAAAAAATAAAAAAAAATAAAAAGGAAAAAAAGTGGCCTCCTATTCTTGGATTCATCTCGGAAAGTTCGATGGTTAGGAAATATCTAGGCAAGTTGTATAGGGAAATTATTGGTCATGTCACCTCCCAATTATCAAAAAATCCATGGGTACGATGTACCTAACCTACACTTTTGACAATTTGTTTGTGATTGTGACGAATTCACCTCACGTCCGAATTTGACGAAATATCTACCTAATGAGTAGACTAAGGTAAGCTTCTTTTTTTTTTTTTTTTTTGGGGGAATTATAATGTTTAGGTCTGGTTTTTAGCTACGGCTTCGTAGAGACTGCAGTGGTGCAAGTTCTGGTGGATTACATTTCCGATCAGTTGGGGGATACAGAAGGTCTTCGCATACATGCGGCAATTGTGAACCTAATGGATGGACTGTGCTCGGTTTTGATCATTGTTGTAGCTTACCTGGCAGATACCTGCATAGGTCGTTTCAGAATGGTCTTGCTTTGCAGTGCTGCCTATATCGTTGTGGGTGCCGATCCATACATTT